ATTCGTGCCCTTGGGGGAACACGGCCTGGAAGAGCTGGCTCTTGCCGACGTTGACCTTGCCGACCATCCATCCAGCGCCGCCGCGCTTGTAAATCTCCTGCTTGAGATCCTTCGTCCACCAGCTCCGCCTCGCGCTGACGCATTTGAGGTTGCCGAGCCTGACAACGTCGCCAAACTCCCCCAAGGCGCTTCGCAGCACCTCGCGCAGATACGGCATCAGGGCGTTGACCTGCTTCTCCGTCGGCGCCAGAAGATCGGAGCGCGTGATGATGAAGCTCATGTCGAACTTGCGGTCCTTGTAGTAGCGTCCGGCACGCGACCTGCGGTTGCGCCGCCTGAGGCTGACGTCGCCCAGAAGCTGGTGCAATTTCGGCACGAGCGACATGGGAAAATCTGCGGCGTCGATGACATGGTAAATGTGGTTGTTCTTGAAGGGCGACTCTTCGATCGTTTCGCGGAGGGCGTCGACGCTCGGGTGGAAGATGGGCGTGCCCTTGCGGTGGTGCACGAGCGCATGGCAGCGGTTGCACAGCGGCGTTGCGTTCGGCGCGGGAGGAAAAGCTAATTGGCATATTAGCAACGACGTCCACGAATCGCTGATCGTAGTTAGAGCTCACAGGGAATATCAGTCTCGAGGTCCTCTCCGGCAAGCAGAGTCCTAGGGTCCAGGCCAAGCTCTTGCAGCTTGTGTTCGTCCAATCCCTCCAAGGCCTTGGTCACAACAAAATCTTCCTCGATCTCCCCCTTATTTATCTCGTACTCGTGTTCGGAAGCCGCAAACTTTTGTACAGATTTGCGGTTCAAGTCGTAGTAGCCAGCCTGGTCAGGTTCCGTGGTCTGAGTGAAGGCGCCGCAACCATGGCATTGTAGAGGCAGCTTCGCCAAAGCCAGCGCATCGGCATCTGCGGGATCCGAAGGCAGTCGCTCGAGAGGGTCTGAAAGATTCGATTCGGCATGAAGACACCTTCGTTGGCCATGCGCAACCGTCATCTGATGAGGAACACCACGCCCCCTTTGCGCCGAAAGACTGAGCGCTGGGCACAGGTACCCAGGCACCTCAGCCAGGGCGGCCCGGTCACCAATCCTCAGCGCGCTCCGTAGCCATCTCGATGACAGCGCTCGGTGCATTGCCGGTTGTGCGACTGTCTCGTTTGCCAAGTGTCGTCTGGGGTCTTCGAAGTCGGAGTGGTTTCTGGAAACTTTCTGAGGAGGAAGCTCACCCCCCAAATTTCTGGGTGATCTGACGCGCGATAGATCGCGTTATCTTATCTTATCCGGATAAGCCCCGGCTCGCCCCGAATCATCACGACCAATTTTCTAAGAGGCTCCTCTGACACGCGACTTCGTCTTGGAAGATAGCTGCTAGCTCCTTCAGGCACAAGGTACTCGAACATCATTCGGATACCAACCCACGCAACCAATTCCTCACAATGGTCGGCACAGGCGCAGCGTCAAGGTGGCACAAGCTCCGGGCAGTACGTAACCAATTGCCCCAGCACCCTAACCCCTGATCTCTCTATCGAGTTCGCAAATGCTAACCTTCTTCGCAGCAAGTATGAAAATCCCCCCCCACTGGATTGAAGCAGCCTGCACCCAGAAACCAAGGTACTGACCCCCGAAACCAGATGCTCAGGATACGCCACGGCCCCGGCGCAGCCGTCATCCCCCCGACGGTGACCCGAATCCACGTCGAATTCGCAAAGACATACAACAACGGCCACATGGGTCCCAGGTGCGTTTTCTCTTCTCCCCAAAGGAAAGAAAAGGAGAGGGGGGATAAGAAGGTCCCGCAGCGCACGAGTGATGGTTTCTGACGGTGGCCCGCAGGAGGTTCTGGCGCGACATGCTCCCCCGCCTCAAGTTCCACAATCCCTCGATTCCCATGATCGTCAACCGCAAAGACTCAAACGAGGGCCCGGCCCTGCTCTCCATCTACCTCTCCGACGCGGCCGCCGCGGGCGCGGAACCCGCGGCGCGCATCCAGCCGCCCTCGTCCGGAATCGACACCTCCAAGGCGGCGCCGCCGGCCGCCGACGAGCGCGTCGTCAAGATTGACATGAAGAACCAGCGCTCCGAGGAGATCTTGGCGCGCTTCCTCGCCGAGACGGGCGCGCAGCCTGTCCTGCCGACGCCCGAGGAGCAGGCGGAGATGAAGGAGGTTGAGGAGATGGAGCGCCAGGGCGCCGTGGACAAGAAGAAGCAAAAGGCGACGATTGACGAGAGGAATCGGGAGAGGGACCTCCTGAAGAAGGCCAGGGAGTCCGTGATCGACTAAGGGTTGGGCGACTTGTGGGCAGCCGCGGGCAGCAATCATGTTTGTATCAGTATTGTAGATGTACGATTTGTGGGAGAACATTTCGAAGCATGGTCAGGATCTTGCCGCACGAAAAACCGAACCGATTTCCTACTTAGCTCATGAACAAGGTCAATTCGTTGGCTGTATGCGAACCTCGCCTGAATGCTTGATACACATCGGATCCTGCGTAGCAGCCGAAGGTGATTGTTTTACAGATGAAGAGGTCCCCTCTATGCGCCCTTTGCGATATCCTTTGCCTATTCCGGACTCCCATACGCCATGACAATGATAAGAGTTGTTTATTTATTCCTTGTGCCGTTTACTTCAAGCCAAAACCTTCGCTTTCGTGCACAGCCGTCCAGAGCATGTGCTCTAGTCGTTCTTGCGAGCCGTAACGGCGAAGAGACAGCATGTTAAAACACGTTCGAGCAATGGGATAACGTTCTTCGTCCTCTCCGAGGCAGGATATCTTGATCGGAAGGAGCGCAGCGCCCATAGCGGGTATTCGGTCACTTCCGGTAATGAATGATAGGAGCTTTCGTTGTTCTGAAGGTTTGGCGCTTTTGAACGTGTCCCAGAACCAGCCGATGACAGGCTCTGTACCATCAGGATTCTTACTGCCCCAATTGTCATACTCAGCTGCAGCTCGGAGCGAGTCGATATCAAGAGCTGTGGCTGAGCCCCGGACCAGAAGTTCAATCTCTTCCGGCCGGAAAAGGGACAGTGCGGTGCCTCCACAGACGGTGTAGAAGCCGCGCTTGAATGGCTCGAATTGCCGGGTGACTGCGTGGTCCAGGAGGTAGCGCACGTAGCAGTCTACGAATTCTCGTCGGTTTGCGTTCGTGACGGGCTTCCATTCGCCTCCTGGACAGAGGGGAACCTGAAGCACTGTCCCATACTTATCAACTGGGACAACAAAGTCGAGGCCAAATGTCTCCTCCACGTCACCATCGTAATCAAGCAGCTGTTTAAGGCCTGCAGCTAATCGTGGGCGCCACTCGGCCAAGTCTTCAAGGTTATACGTCATGATAGGACGTGGGTGTGCAGACGATGGAACTGGGGAGATTGGCGCCGCAGCGAGCAGCTTGCGATAGGCAAATGGCGGAAGCGCCACATCCAGAATGGTCGAGTTGTAGATGGCAAGCCCAATGACCACCCCCACGAGGAAGAACTGGTCCGACGTCTCAAAAGAGTTGGGGTTGAAGTAGCAAAGCTGTGACTCCTCATCGTAGGTAAACAGGCCTGACAGATAAGTTAGTCGTAGTTCTGATCGAGACAACGTGCTCTCTACTGTGATACGTACCGTGCTCTGGGTTGAACACCCTCACGGACGAGGAGAAGAAACCATTCTTTGCAGAGACCGCCTGCATCGTAGCCCTCTTCGCCTCTAAATTCGATGCGCAGGCGCTTCTTGATGTCTTCGCCACCGCTGCCAATCACCTCGCTCACAGCAGCCAGGCTGTCCTCCACCAAGCAGTCACGGCGTACGTCAAGTGTCAAGTGCTGCGTGACATTCTTCCGTGTCATGATACTATCGAAAAAGGCATCCCGCGCCTTCGTAGTCATTTGACGGCGGGCATCGTATTCCAGAATTTGAGACTTGGCCCAAATACTGAGTAGAAATGGATACTGGCAAAAGGCAAATTTGCTCCTCTTTGTCTCCCACGCCTCAAAATCAGCGATCAAGTCAGCATAGTCTATCATGCTGTTGTAGAAATCGCTGGTTGGCAAGACTTGACCAAATACTTGAACACCCTCGCGCAGGACGACGCTGGAGTTACCCAGCATGGTTGCATCTGCGCGTCTGACTCCCAAGGTGTTATTGGCAGCGAACAGTAGAGCCAAGACGCGTGCGGCAGCTCTTATCTGCCAATCATCATGGTATATCATCTTCTTCGGCTGCTCTTTCGTCTTCTTTTTCGATGAACTCGACGTCCCGAGAGCTGCATGAAGCGAGGCTGCAGATCGGCCGGTGTTCATGTTAGGTATAAGGCCATCAATAACATCGACCTTGGCTTCATACTTCTTCTCGTTCTGGCGAATGAGTCGAAAGGTGAGAAAACCGCTTGTCAGATCCTTAAATATTGAGAATCTGGATTCGGGGTACCGTGCAAACCACGCAATGAGGTGTGTATGACAAGAATTTGAGGCATTCGACATGAGGCCGAGAATCCGTTTGATGACTCCAGAGTGTTGACCAGATATTGGGCCGCCTCTCGCTTGAGTTGAATCACTCCCGTTCTTGCCGCCTCGTGAGCCGCCTGTCCCTGATTGCTTGGAGCCCCGATAATATGACGGTATGGCATACAATAGGGGGTTTTCGAGCAAGATGAGGAGGAATCGCATGTCTTCGGGGTCGGTTAAGGCACGCCCAGGTCGTTTGAGCAACATTTCGGTCACTTTGAGCAGGACCCTCTGCACTCGTTCTTGCGCTGCGAGTAGAACATCTTCCAAATCTTGCAGTGCGGCGGCGGATAGAGGCTCGAATGCCTCGTCTTGATACAGGCTGTCGTAAATCGCAGTCCAAGACTCTGCCGCATTGAGTAATGTAGCATACCATGAAGCGACCTGGTCCCATTCGATCTGAGCGCAACGCATGGATACAACTGAGTGCGCAGCCTCTGATGTCTTGCGTCCTTTTGATTGCGCATGCTGTTGAGACTCTCTTTGGTTCCCTGTCCACCACATGCCATTCTCCGCAAAGTTACCGAGCAGCAACAGCTTGGGATCCAGATCAACCAGCTGCGATTGAGACTCGGCACACTTGGAGTCGGATCGAGCCACGGCGGTTTGTCGTCGTACATTTCCACCCTTTGGTTCAGGCGCAAAAACTGGCCGTGTTGCGTCGCCAGTCGATTGTGCAGGGAACACAGGCTGGGAATCATCACTCTCCGGTCGGGCAGTGTAATGTGGACGGCTTGGAAGAAAGGACGAATTCACACACTGCAGCGAGCTGAAGCATGACACGAGATAGTCCTCCAAGGGCTTGAAAAGTCGCTTTCCATCAATTTCGGGCTGCGGAGGTGCAGCAGGACGGATGCTCTCCTCTCCGAAAATGCTGTGCACCAATGGACGAGCCGGGTAGGAGGATGAGTATGATCTTGGAGACTGTTGATGAGGGTTTTGGCGAAGTGTCGGTTGCTCGCTAAACATGCAAGTTGCAGGTTCCTCCTTCTGCATCCTCTGCGACACAGAATTCGGTGTCGCGGGACTCGTAGCTATCCAGCGGCCGGTCGAATGATCATCCTGGATGATGGGCGAGTGCGGATGCCCTGACGACGGCCCTCGCTGCTTCTCTGCTGCTTTTCCTTGACGCACGACCTGGACCAGATACTTCTCAAGGCAGCTGTGAACTAACGACTTTGTGTGTTCCAATGATATCTCCTTGGTGCCGCTCTTGTCGACCGGGCGGGCAGGCTGATCCGGGGGCGAGGACGAGGACGAGGTGGAAGAGTTGGCGCCCCGGAGCCACTGCGGGACGCAACCAGACCTGTGTCCGGCGTGCTCCTCCGGGCTGAGGTCGTTGACGGTGACGCAGACGGTGCACTTGAAGACCTTGAGATCTCGCGGCCAGCGCACGAGGGAGTTGCAGGTCATGCAGTTTCCGGTGGCGAAATCGCGGTTGCCTTGGCTCATGTTGCCCCTTGTATGTGTCTTGGCTGCGGATCGAGTCACGGGCGGGTCATTTTGGGAGTCGTCGGAGTCGGAGTCGTGCACCGGGTCTGGACGCTGCTTCTTCTTGCTGGAGAAGAGGGACGGGAAAGGAACGCTCATAGACCGAGAATGGGCTGGTCGACGGCGTGGTCTGGAGGGGTGGATATCAGATTCGGAGGAGCTCGAGTCAGCGTTGGCCTGAGAATCCTCCAGGGCAAAGTCGTGGCGAGAGAGGCGCGCCAGCTCGCTGGGCGGGGCATTGAGCGAGGTGTTGTGCAGGCGGGTGACAAAGTCGTCGGATGGACGTCGAGAGGGCTGGGGAGCAGGTCGTCGAGGCGAACGGGGCGGCGGTGGAGGTGGTGGACGTCGGGGTGGCCACGGAGATGCCATGGTCGCGACTGACTATCCAAAGTGAGGCAGGCGCCTGCCTTACCGGAGGGTGCTTGCCGGACGCGGACGTAGACGTGGGGACGTGGGCGAGGGCGAGGGGCACTTGCAGCTTCTAGCACCAAGCAAGAGCATCGAGAACAACTGCCCCCTTGGCACGTCCTGCATCAAGATGAAGACTTTGAGTCGTTCTCGTGCAGTGCTACTATACAATGCTGTAGAAGAAGGAGGAGGGAGTCGGAGAAGGGAGAGGGAGAAAGGGGGCGTGTCCACACAGACGTCGGCACCGACGGCTTGGGTTCTGTGGGCTGAGTGCGGTATGAGGCAAGGTAGTTAGTTGTCTCGAGACTAAGGCAAGGGCGGGTAGGGCCGTCAAGAATCACGACAGATCCGATCGAGCTAGGGGTTATGGAGGAGGCAATGTGGGCGGACGAAACGGATGAGGATGTCGAGGCCGGACTGGCATGCAATTGCTGGAGTAGGCGAACGTCTCGCGTCTCGAGATTCAAGCGGCCGGGTGTGAAGAATGCAAGGCGGTGCCAGGGGAACGGTAATGATATGTCTTTGTTGAAGGTGACCCAGGCATGCGAGCATGGATGCCAAGTGGACAAGCATTCGGTCGTTGACTGTCGTGCAGGTTGTGACACGGGATTTGAGGCCTAACGATGTCGTCCGCCGGTTGCCAGTGAAGGAGGAAAGGTGGTTGATCTCGTTCACCTGAAGCTCGTATTCGATGTCGACGGGGGGACTCGAAAGGTTATTGCGAGCGAATCATACACCAGGCCTTGGCTTCTGGTTGCAACTGACTCCGTGTTCCTGCATGCCTTCAATCGAAGGGCTGTCAAGCGGTGATGAATGTGTCACACACAGCAAGAGGGCCAGAGAAGCGGGCGACGAGAGTAGAGGGCAGACGAACGAGCAGGAGTCATGGCATTGGGAGCGCGTGGAGGCTTTGCCAAGCGTTACGCAATGCAACAGAATGTAGAGGCTTAGAGAAATGATGGTCGAACAATAAAGCTTGGGGGCCGGGTGGTGCTGGATCCAGGGGACTCACCCACTAGAGGTGACTCCCTAGAGCGCCCGAAGGCAGAGGACACGCGATTGGGAGGAGACCCCATGTTCCAGACCCCCGCAGTGGGACTTGGGACTTGGTGAGCTCCAGGTACCGTACCCTGCGCAATGGATCCAAATGTCAGGTTGGCTCTCTTTGCATCGGCACCTGCAATGAACCTATCCCCCCCCCTCCCCCTCCCCCCCCGGGAAGCACATGGCTGATGCAAGTATCACCCTTGAGCTGGCGTCTACGGGAAAAGAATGAAGAGGTCACACAAACGAGGAACTGGCAGCCATAGTACAGCTGTAGGAACGATGCTGCTTAGAACAGGATCTCCGGTAGTCGGAAAAGGACGCAAAGGTACAGCAAACTAGACTTGTAACGTTGTGACGGTCGCTTTTTGGGGAGCCACCACCTTTTTGGTTCTCGGCCTCGACGGAAAGAATCAAAGTCAAATGGCCCCGTCAAAGGCGTTTCGATGATCTGCAAGTCTTGTCGCACCCATGTGACAACGACTGCGACAGAGGGAGGGAAGCAGGGTCGTGATGTCGGACAAGCAATGACGTTGTGTGGCTGAGGATGTGGCGATTCCCCGGTCCCTGGAGAGTGGTGTAGTGGCCGTGGCCGCTGAGGGTGGTGCCTAGCTCACTGGGGCTTCTTTCTGCTGGCTCCTCGCGGGCTGCTGCTGGCTCCTCGCGGGCTGCTGCTGGCTCCTCGCTCCTGGCTCATTTTACGCCTGGAGGCACTACCGCACCTGACCTGCACCGAACTGGGGAAACCGCCCGCGCTACGATCAATCAAGCAGTCCAAAGTCATCCACCAGCCCATCAATCCCATCCCACCGCACTGCACCGCACCGCTGGCCTTCGACCTCTTCGGTTCTGGATCTGCCACGTCCGTCCCTCCGCGCGACAACCACCGAACATTGAGCACCGCCTTTTTGCCCCTCTGCCATCACCAATCCCGATCACCGACCAATCTTTTTTTTTAGTCTTTTACGACACCCCTCTTTCTCCTGAACAGAGCACCCTCCGACCACCGCCAACATGTCGAGTAACAGAAACTACGACTTCCTGGTAGGTGGCCCCCTTCTTGTCTGTCCGCTGCTGCCGGATCGCGCTGCTGCCTTTGGCCTCCCCCGAATGGACGACAAGGGCGACGACGACAACGACGACGACGACGACGATGACGACGACGACGACGACGACGAGGGCCCGACCAGACCCCTGCATCACCAGCTAACACGACGCACAGATCAAGCTCCTGCTGATAGGCGACTCGGGCGTGGGCAAGTCCTGCTGCCTGTTGCGCTTCAGCGAGGACTCCTTTACGCCGTCGTTCATCACGACCATTGGCATCGACTTCAAGATCCGCACCATCGAGCTCGACGGCAAGCGCGTCAAGCTGCAGATCTGGGACACGGCCGGCCAGGAGCGCTTCCGCACCATCACCACCGCCTACTACCGCGGCGCCATGGGCATCCTGCTCGTCTACGACGTGACCGACGAGCGCTCCTTTAACAGTGCGTTCCTGCTGCCCAGTTGCTGCCTCTTGGGGAGTCCCATGCTGACACTGTCCTCTGACTAGACATCCGCACCTGGGTCGGCAAACGTCGAGCAGCACGCCACCGAGGCGTCAACAAGATTCTCATCGGCAACAAGTGCGACTGGGAGGGACAACCGCGTCGTTTCCCCGGAAACAGGGGCCAGCAGCTCGCCGACGAGCTCGGCATCCCCTTCCCTCGAGGGTCTCCGCCAAGAGCAAACATCAACATTGACCAGGCTTCTACTCACTGGCCGCCGACATTAAGAAGCGCCTCATCGACAACCAGAAGAGCGAGGCCGGCGCGGGCGGCGCGTCCGGGGGTGCGGGCGGCGTGCCCATCGCGCAGGCGGGGGGCAGCGGCGGCAAGTGCTGCTAGCCTGGGACGGCCTCTCTTAGTGAAAGCTGGGTGTGCACGAGGATGGCGGCGGGTGTGACTTTTTTTTTGGTTGGAGCTCGGCGGCGAGATGGCCATGGGGCGGAGGCAGATGATGGGCGGGCGCGGGGAGAGGAAGGGACTGGTACGCCGCCTAAGGCGCCCGAACAGACCATGCACATACGGCACTCCGAAAGGGGCAGCAAGCATACCGGAGCGAGCGAGAGCGGCGGCGGCGGCGGTGGTGGTGGTGGTGGTAGTGGCGACAGCGACTCGACGGCGGATGGAGAGGGAAGGGTGCCTGGTTCTTCTGTTGAAAGAGCCTCCGAGGCTTTGGGCGTGTCATCATCATCCGTTAGAGAGCAAATATCTGGTCCGGAGTTTCGGGTTTTTGTTTTTTTTTCTTGCCCTTTTATTTTCCCTCTCTCTTCCTGCCTATTTCCTTCACTGGGGACAATTCAGCTTGTTTTTCTACTTGTCGCACGTTGTGA